AATATACTATACACAGAGATAGGTATAAAAGAGCCTGCGCAGGGCTGACAGAGAGACAGCGAGAGCGAAGCGCAGGGCTCACGATGCGTCTCTTCCTGATCCCGATCTCGACGGGCCGTACGCTCATCTACTGCAAGAAGGTCGACGCTGCGGTGCCGGCCAAGCAGCTGAGCTACCTCGATCGCATCACGAACAAGGCGACGGCGACCTGGGCGAAGTGGGAGGCTGCAGAGAAGGGCTGGCAGAAGACGCTGGTCACCTACGGCCACCGGGCGCTGCAGCGGATTCCCTACGAGGAATGGGGGCTCAAGAGCGTGCCGCCGTTGAGCTCGCGGCGGGAGATGGAGGAGCTGCAGGCGCGCAAGCCGGTGGAGCTGCTGTACCCCAAGAATGCGATCAAGACGAGCAGGGTGATGGGCCTGCTGGAGCAGCTGGCAACGGAGAGACAGCAGCTGCATCGGAAGCGCATGTGGTGGAGCATCGTCGTTGCGCCCTTGACGGCTCCCTTTGCCCTGGTGCCGATGTATGCAAGACGCCTTTCTTACTATACCCGCTGGACAAGTGAATAACGATACGGTACTGTGATGCTGACTGTCTGTAGTATACCTAATATACCCTTTTTCTTCTTCTGCTACCGCGGCTGGTCGCACTGGAGAGGTTAGTTTTATGAAGCTCGGCTGCTCAAAAATCTATATCTATATCTATATACTTGCTGACTGTCTACAGCACTGGGAGGCTCGAGGCACCTGGAGTTTCTGCTAAAAGAGAATCTGATCCAACCTAGATCATTGACAGACCTGGAGAACGTCTATCTACGGCACTTCCCTCGCAGGGACGGGGTGGAAGATACGATGGTTGATGAGAAGAAGGAAGAGAAGAAAGATGCGCCTGGCTGTGAAGACGGCCACTGCGCCGAGGAGGTGATGCTGCTCAAGGACACCGACGGCAAGGCCCTGGCCAAGATGCTGGATGCCCCTGAGCTCGTTGCCGAGGTCGAACGAGCCGTCCATCAGGTTCAACAGCAGCTGGACCAGAAAAAGCAGTCCTAAAAGATCATACTCCCCTTTCTCCTCGCATATAACACGCCCTTTTGCCATGTATATTATTGTTGTTTACGCCTGTATAGACCTAGTCAGACGCATCATGAGTCCATGCATACTTGGATATCCTAATGAACTCTTCTTCTGTCCACTTCCTTTATCAATATCAATATCTAGTTCTATACAGCTTCTTGGTCGTCTTTTTCTACGGGAATTGATATGTTCCGCTGACTAAGCAGGCGCTCTGCCATCGACGATAAGCAAAGACGAAGCGACGAAGAAGACGAAGAAGAAGCAGCAAGACAAACAAGAAGCAGAAGCCGAAGAAGAGGAAGAAAAGAAGATAACGGAGCAATTCGAAGCTGTGCTGAGGCTGCTGAGGCTACTGCATCATGGGCGAGAAGAAGATAGAGCAGTGGGAGGTCGAGCGGTACTGGGAGATCTTCTCGTCGCTATCTAACGGCCAGCCACGACTCAACAACGCACAAGCGGCCACCGTCCTACGCAACAGCCGGCTTCGAGATGACCAGCTGGAGCGGGTATGGGATCTGGCAGACGTTGATGGAGACGGGGAGCTGGACTTCGAGGAGTTCTGCGTGGCCATGAGACTGATCTTCGACCTGGTCAATGGAGTATGTTTACAGCGACATGACCTACATCTGGATATACAACGTGAGATATACTGACGGGCTGGTAGGAATATAACGATGTACCGCCCGCTCTACCCGACTGGCTGGTTCCGGAGTCAAAGGCACATCTCGTCCAGGCCAGCAGGGCGCTGACCGGCACACAACCGCAATTCGAGAGAGTAGAGGATGAAGACGATACCCCTGGCCTCAAGGACGGGTTCGACTGGTACATGGCGCCACAGGACAAGGCCAAGTACGAGGAGATATACTCTGCCAACAAGAACCAGCGAGGAGAGATAGCATGTACGTTTGTTTGACGGTATGCATATTCATTACAAGAGCCCTACTAACAACTGTCTAGTCTCCTCGTTACAAGACCTATACGACTCCCTCTCAGTGCCGGACACAGACATCCGCTCGGCATGGAACCTCGTCAACCCATCCGCCTCCTCCACCATCTCCAAAGACGCAGCACTCGCCTTCCTTCACATCCTAAACAACAGACACGAGGGCTACCGTATCCCCCGCAACATCCCCGCCTCCCTCCGCGCCTCCTTCGAATCAAACAAGATAGACTACCAGCTTGACAATGTCCGCACAGCCAAGAAATGGGGTGTCTCCAGCAACGACGACACAAGTACAGGCCGCAAAGCCAAGTTCGGAGACGCCTACTTAAGCCGGCTAGGAGTAGGGGGCAAGTCAAGCTACCAGCCACAGGGAACAGATTTCAGTAATACTATACAAGACGAAGAATGGGAGAAAGTCCGTCTAAGGCGAGAATTAGCGGAGCTAGATAAGAAGCTGGAAGCAGCCAATGCGGCCGTCGAGGCCAGGAAGAACGGCACAAGGGCGCGGGCAGACGGGCCTAATTGGGCGCTGATCAAGAAGGAAGCTCTGCAGATGCTCGAGTATAAAGAGCGTGAGCTGCGAGAGCTAAGGGAAGGGACTGGTCGGGTTAGTGAGGGTGAGAGCCTTGAGCGGATCCGGGCTGATGTCAAGGCTGTCGAGGAGCAGGTCGAAGGTCTCAAGGCACATCTGGCGAAGCGTAATGAAGTCTTGTCGGACCTGCGTGATCAAGTACAAGACGCTAAACGATCTCGATAGCTGGCGCCGGGTGGCTTACTTTTTGTTTTTTGATATAGTATATACTCCCTTCCCCCTTACTCCTCTTTAACGCCTCTCAAGCGGTGTATCATGTCTGTATCCTTTTGGATTTATTTTTCTCTTCTCTCTAATGATATATTATATTGCACGTTAACTTCTGCAGGTCCTGGATAACTAGTACAATTTAATACTAAAGGAGGGTTTCACTGATCAGTAGCTTTTCTTATTTACTGGTAATGTCAGCCATGATCTCGTCTGCATCAGTGTTCGCCTTGACAGCAGCAAACGCCCGCCCGCTCTCATTCATCCGCTGGTCCGAGTACGCCTCGTCGCTGCGGTCTGTCAATATCTCAAGATCCTTTTCTGAAAGCAGAGACTCCGAAGTCGTTCCAGCGCCGATATCAAACACCTCAATGTCTTCATCGCCGAATATCTTCTTCAATTCATCCGCCTGGCGCTGTGGATTAGACGAGCTCGTGGAATCAAGCAGGCTTTTGAATTTGCCCTTTTGAATAACTAGTTTCTCTAGTCGGCGTTTGGATCCGGCCCGTTCAAGAAGAGTCTGTTCAATTGTGCCCCTGGTAGCTAATCGATAGACAATCACCGGCTTCGTCTGACCAATTCGGTGAGCCCGGTCCTGGGCCTGGAGATCCTGTTGTGGATTCCAGTCAGAGTCGAAGAGAATAACGGTGTCAGCGGCAGTAAGGTTGATGCCCTGGCCGCCTGCTCGCGTACTTAGTAGAAATATCCTGTAGTCGGGATCACTGTTAAAGGCATTTATCTGCTCCTGTCGATCCGCCTGTGCAATTGCACCGTCAATACGACAGCAGTTCCAGGACCGGAGCTGCGTGGCCCAGTCCTCGAGGATATCAAGTTGTCCTTTAAACTGTGAGAAGATTAGAACCTTGTGTCCCTTTGAAATAAGACAGGGTACAAGACGGTCTAGCAGAAGCATTTTGCCGGAAGACGTAACAAGCGTGGAGTCAACGCCTGAAGAGTCTTCGTCCCATGGCCAGTAGAAGTTGAGTGGTGAATTGCACACCAGTCTGGCTTGCATGACTGGATTCTGAAGCTTCTTGGAGGAGATCTCCTTTTCTATAACAGACAATTAGGGACAATTTTTCTCCATAGACTAGGAGGGGTACTCACTGGCTAGCTTCATAGTCTTTGCTCTCTCGATTTCGTCCACCTCTCCTTCACTAAGCTCGCTCTGCTCAGGGGTGTCCTCATGGATCCCCTTCTCTAGCTTCGCTAATTTGCTATTGAACTCCCTATCAGACTCCTCCTTGTAGTTTTTGGACCGGCCTCGACGCCGAGCTCTCGTAGGTGTAGAGTCACGGCTAGATTTTGCACTCTTGTTAGGCGTGTTTAGCTCGCTGCCACTTGCACCTCTCTTCAAACTGCGGGCTCTTGACTGTTTGGCTGAGCTATTCCTAGCTTCTATTCGCTCGGCGGCTTTCTCTTCTAGATATTGACGGCTCGTTCCGTTCACTATCTGGACATATAGCTCCTTTTGTTCAGGCGTAAGAGGTGCATATAGGACATATTCACGTTTCTTCGGAAGCGAGGATTCAACATCAGTCTTTAGCCTCCGTAGTAAGAATGGTTTCAGGATTGCATGCATTGTAGACACAAGGTTGCGTCTCCGTCTTTCATTGACAGCGTTTTGATCAGAATCATCAAGAACAGACGAGAAATCAAACCAGCTCTGGAAGTTATCCAGATCGTTAAATATCTCGGGTAGTAGAAAATGAAGCAGTGACCATAGCTCAGCAATGTTGTTCTGCAAAGGCGTCCCGGTGATGAGCAGCCGATTTGCAGAAGGGTATGTCAAGAGCTCCTTTATCAACTTGCAGTTCATATTTTTCAGACGATGTCCTTCATCCTATAGTTCCACTCAGTTAGCATTCCATTCGGAGACCTTGAAGAAAATATCTACACTTACCACTATGATGTATTTCCACTGGTAATTGGCGAGGAACTTTCGATCATTCATGCAGATTTCATATGATGTACAGACAACTGGGAAATCAGGCGCCTTCTGGTCCTGGTTCTTCATCTGTTTTCGTCGAATTTCGCTACGTTGTTCTTTGGTTCCGTGGTAAAGAACAGTATTGATAGATGGAGTCCATCGTGCAAACTCATTTACCCAATTGCTGACTGTGCTCAGGGGCGCAGCTATCAAAAACGGCCCAGGGATATTATGTTCTTTAAAGAACGCAATTAACGAGATAGCCTGTACCGTCTTTCCGAGGCCCATCTCATCTGCCAGGATACC